AGCAGGAGGAAATGCTAGTCCTATACACTAAAAATAGGACAATTACATTAAGCAACCCCACGTTATGTTCTGTGGTCTCCACATACAAAGCTTGATTTGTCAGGACACTGTACAGAATGAGTGGGAGCAAGCCCAAACTTTACTTCTTCATTCATTTGCAAGTTCAGAGCAGCCCAGCAAAGGCTGCTGCTACTTGGAAGTACTTCTGTCATCCTGACAGCACTTCTAATTCTCTTTGGGTTTCCTGGTGGTCACATCACACATGCCAGGACTCTATTCAGATTATCTTCCACCAAAATAACCTCCTTGTCCACCCTCTCTGGAAGTGCAGAATCCTCTCTACAAATAAGGCAGCAGCTGCATCCTGCACACACACGTGTGCATGTTACTTTGGTGTAAATTCTAATGCATCACATTTGTGGAAGACAGACATTAACCTAGACATGCTGTGTAGGAACAAACCACTTGAAAAAAATGGAGAAACAAAAGCAGGAAGCTGCAAGAAATCATGAGAGGCTCTGTACTAGCAATTGGAAGTAAATATAATCTTAAACAAAAGAAATTGTCAACAAGGATAAAAAATGCAGAGCCAACTGTCCAGCTATAGCCATCTATAACCTGTATGTTTTGTCTTTGAAAGACAGTTTTGTGTTAATCAGATCACACAGATTTTACTAGAGGAGAAATTTAGTATTGACATGTCAGGGCTGGAAAGCTGGCAGCTCATTGAGATATTTCTTGAATGTTTTGAGAAGGATTTAAAAGCCTCCAGATTACCTGTATTTTCTTTTCAGCTTTTTATTTTTTGAGCATACAACTTCTAAGTAAGTCATCTCTTTTTTTCCATCCAAAGATTCTTTTTATAGGTGACTCGACGAACAGAGGGATGATGTACTATCTAATAGAAAGAGTGAATAAGACTCTTCAGGAATGGCAAAAGACTCATGATGTTAAGTGTTATCATAATATCAATGAGGGGAAAACATTTATCAGCTACTCCTACTACCCCCAGTTTTGGATGAATGCAAACCAGAGACCAACTTTTGAAAAAGCACTAGAACAACTGCTGCAGAGGTACTGTACAAACCCTGTTGCTGGCTTGTTTGTATTTTCGTTCTGTTCAAAAATGTTTAACACATTTTACAATTAAAGGCAGCAAACAATTAAACATAACGTGTGCAGACCATATTGTGTGGTTGAAAAGTAGTAGAAAATGACATAAAGCCTCTGATCAGGATGCCAGATACAGTTCACTGAAACGCAGTGCAATGCAGTTAAAATGTTTGCCATCTGTTTTAAGGCAACGTGTTGTTTTTCCTTTCTGGGTTGCAGATCACGTCCCCTGGAGAACACAGACCAGACCGTATTAATTGTAGGTGGTGTTCAGTGGCTTAATTCCAATCACCTGCAAATTATCCAAAAGGTGTTGAATAGGTAATGTTGTGTTATTCCAAGTCTTGATATGATAAATTATGAAAAAAAAACTTAACAAAAAGTTTTTAATACTAAAAATTCTTTTTTTTTTTTCTCATGGCAGTCCACTTAAGAGACTTTGAAAAAATATAAATGCAGTGTCTTTTGATGTCTCTGTTAAGTAAAATGTATGTCCTTTTTTAATTTTTTTTCTTTTACAAAATTTGCCAAACAGGGAAAATCTGTCAAATATCCTGGTAATCATCAAATCCATAGGTATGGGCTTTCACCTCCCAGTGGATGGAATACATTCTCTATCCCAGGTAAGCTGCAGTACATTTAGAGTGTGTTTTCACAGAAGACTTGTCGTTTCAGCAATAATTTTGCTGTCTGGTCAAAATATGTTACAACCTCTGCTGAGCAAGCTTTAAGTGGATCAAAGAAAGATTAATGTTCGTATTTGCTCATACTGCTTGCTAATATGGATTCAAACCAATTTGCCTTACTTCATGGATTCTGCCACAATCAGAGCACTGTTTGAGACACCGAGCTCAGTCAGCCACCTCAAGAACCAGAAGAAGCTCCAATGTTCAGCCTGCTGCCAAAGTTGAGAAATCGAGCTAGTTATGGGCAGATTGCTCCTCATACCAGGCTGAGCACAGGCTTTCCTCAGGCTTCCTCCATGGTTACTTCTGGGTCAGATTCACTGGTCTGGCTGCATCACACAACTCTCCATAAATCTATCTTAACCAGCCTATAAAGCCAGAAGATTACAGAGCAGCTGGAATGTACCGGTGAATCTAGCCTGTTATTTGTATGTTAATCAGATGTTACAGTCGGTTTAAATCATATCCAAGACTCTCAGAGTAACAGATGGACTCGTTTCAATGTGCTGTGTAACTCATTTAATTCAATATTTTTATTTACCATTTGGCCAGTGGTGCTCTGTTCAAGACCTATAAAATGTATGGATGAGACAGGGCTGGGAAACACCGGAGGGCAGATCAGAGCAAATGGTGCCTACCAGCACTGCCTGTGATGCTCCAGCTAGTCACAGGTGTTGAAAAGAGAAAATTATTAGCTTTCAGAGTTGATGTACAGCACTCTGATCACACTGGGGACTGGCATCCACATCTCTTTGCAACCATAACGCCCTGCTGCATTCAGGGTGTGACTCACTGCCACTCTCACACCTCTTTTTTGCTGTGGAGACTGTCCTGTAAGATTTTGCCCATTCTTTCTGTCTCTACTGAATGTCTTCCTACCAATTCCATAATTTCTTTAATTTATCTGAATGACCAAATTAGCATACGGTAGGGAAATTTTTGGCATCAACATGAAGAAACGTTGTGAAAACTCCTGCCATAAAGCTTTCAGCGGAGTTCAGTCCTAGCTGGAAGAAGCAGGAGTTTGATCAAAGGTGGATGAGGAAAGG